GATGGATTTCTTCCTCGAACTGTTACCAACCCATGCAGATGAGTTTGATCCGAACACCTTTCCATGCGGAGATTTTTGTGAAATCACACAACTCGTGTATGATGATACAAAATTCCTACTGGTCAGAAAACACGAGGTTGAGTTCCACATAGACGAAAGAGATGTCACCCAGATCCTTGAAGCCGACCAAAGACTAGTGGCCCATCGAGTGGCTTGGTTGAAAGATATTAACTTTTGTGCTTATTATCACAATATTCTGAATTTGACAAGGACTCATTTCAAAAATAAAAGCTGTTTTGATGCATTACATGCATTTTGTGAAATATCTGATAATAGTTTGTTGAGCATGGCACTTAGAGAATATTTGTATTACTTTAAACACAATGTACTGAATGATTTGGACCAATAAAATATGGAAATGGCTCAGCTTTTCTTTACTCCTAGTCAGGTATCGTTGACTTTCATTGGAAACGTGAAAAACGTGACGTTTTTTGACGTTTTCCGACGTTTTTTCGACGTTTTTGACGTTTTTTGACGTTTTTTGACGCTTTTCGACGTTTTTTGACGTTTTCGACGTTTTTTCGACGTTTTTCGACGTTTTTTGACGGTTTCCGACGTTTTTTGACGCTTTTCGACGTTTTTCGACGTTTTTTGAAGTTTTTTGACGTTTTTTGACGTTTTTGACATTTTTGACGTTTTTTGACGTTTTTTCGACCTTTTTTTGACGTTTTTGACGTTTTTTTTTGACGTTTCTTCGACGTTTTTGTGACGTTTTTTCGACGTTTGTGACGTTTTTGATGTGTTTTCGACGTTTTCGACGTTTTTTCGACGTTTTAAGACGTTTTCTCGACGTTGTTGACGTTTTTGACGTCTTGAAGCAGGTTCATTTATTTGCAGCAATGAGACAACCAAATTTTCAAGAAACTTTCATTAAACACAGTGAAAATTACATAGTGCATAGAAAAACTAAAATAAAGAATCTACATTATATAATAAATAAAGTGTATAGAGTAAAAATTAGTAAGCGTATATACAACTAGATTGAAAAAATCAGTGGTGGGGGTAAAATATTATCAGTTGAGATTTTTCAGAACATGAAGGTGATATTGTTGAGGAATGTATATGGAAAAAGAATCATATGTCAGCTATGGAGGAATGTCCGAAAGGCAGGGTGTCATAACAATTTGGAAGTAGGTGTCTCTTGGTGTCATAAGGACTTAGCGCAATTTTCGACTGTTCAATACTGAATACTTGATGGTTGAAGGAACGGATTGTCCGCTGTGTGACTGTCTGCTCCTTGAAGTCTTTCAAGCAAGCCACATAATCATTGAAGGATATCTTATTCCTAACCACATTAAATTTAACCCCTTTGGATTTTTTGGTGACTTTACCCCCCTGCACTTTGTAGGCATACATTTTTGAACGTAAGCATACAAAGTGTGTTATTATTTTCGAATTTGCCCCATCTTTCATCATTCCCAAGACCTTTTTATTCACTTGCGGAATTCCATACGGGTTGTCAGAAGGGTAGTCGGATGTGTCGAATTTGGACAAGTTATTTTCGATAAGTTCCGCATATACATCATCACAGCCAAGTTCGTAAATAAAACTATCGGTGTCTGTATACATTAACTTACATTTCTCCGCCCTCATTGTTGAAAGCGTGAAATCGTAATGGAAATTATACATGCACGTCTTGGATAAATCCAAAATAGATATCCCTATGTATAGGGGTTTGTTGAAGACTATTTCAGATTTAGCCAATTCGATAGCAATCAGATCGTCCTGTGAACATTCTGGAAGTATCAAGCTTACATTTCGATTGCAACATCACTGAAGGGTCGTTTTATGCAGACAGGCCTGCTCACACTATATTAAGCTTCCCCATCACCGTAGATCCTGGTTACGCTATCAACGAACGTCCAAATACCCCTCTCCTTTTACCTGTGAGAAGTAGCCTGAGAGACATTACTAACATTACCGTTATAGTGCTGGATCAGGACCTAATACCTGTTAATTTCCGAGGAGAAAAGGGCACCCTACACTTGGACTTGCAAGAACGTTGAATGGGTCTAGTAGTTGATAATGAAAGATTAATCACAAACTCCTCAGTATCAACGCGACCTCCTGAGAGACAGGAGCTCACTCCAGAAAACGTTCTTTTTCTGCAAGCAATCAGATTACGAGTGAAAAATGAACAAGCGCAAGTATATTCGTTCGGAAGAATCAACAGCACCAACATTCAACCACACAAACCCAATTTTTGATCTGTATCGTCGGCCCAGATATGATGAAACTATTCGAAAAGATGGATATCGCTTCTACATCCCATACGTCAAATCCTTCAATAACAATGATATGGTGGAAATCAACATAAATCAAATCAAGCAGACACATTTTTTGCAATGCATGAGTCTTTGCTGGGAATCAAAGGAACGTTGAATGTGCAAGGAGCTGGAAATGTGTACTTGGCCCCCAACTGTGGAGCATTCCTATTCGATTCTTGCAGTTATGTGCAGAGTGCAAGAGAGATAGAAGTAGTCAGAGATCCAGGGATCGTGAGTAGTATGCGAGGATTCATGTGCTATAAACCTGATGATTCCAAACACTTATCCACAGCCGGATGGACGTATCCTGATAAACCGCTTTTGAATGCAATTGACAAGACATTCAGTTTGTTGATACCACTAAAGCACCTTTTGAACGTTTTCAATGACTATACCTCAATCACCTATGGAAAACAAACAATCCGACTGATTCGAGCTCGTAATGATAACGATTGCGTGATAGTACAGGAACTCCCCAATGGACCTACAACCACTACTACTACAGTTGAAGTACAAATACATAGTGTAGTGCTTAAAGTTAAGCACGTATTTTCGAACGATGAAATCAAACTACAACTGATGCAACCCATGAAAAATGATACACCTATACTGATTTCATTCAGGAAATGGGACCTCAGCCAATTGCCTGCTCTTACAAACGGCGCGAAAAGTGAAATTTGGGCAGTCAAAACGAGCGCTTCGGTGGAACGTCCTCGGTATGTTATTGTGTGCTTCCAGAAATCTAAACGTGACAATGCAGGAGCTGATGCTACCCACTTTGATAACACGAGCATAGTTAGTATCAGATGAGCCCTTAATGGTGAATATTGGCCTAATGAGAGAATGCAGCTGGATTCTGCTAAACAAGACTACACCCTTGCTTACTACAACTATACCAGGTTCTATTCGAGCTATTCACATTCGACGGAGGTTCACCCAATCTTGGATTATGGGGAATTCAAACAGCATGCATTATTTGTGATTGATTGCTCGAGGCAGGAAGAGACCATGAAATCATCGACAGTTGATATAAAGCTTGAAATCGAAGCCGATAAAGGATTCCCTGCTGACACCAAAGCCTATTGCATCATCGTACATGACTGTCTGCTAGAGTACTTTCCTCTAACGGGAGTCGTCAGAACCTAGATTTGAGTATAAATACCAACTGCAAACTGCTCGAGCTCGCATTCGATCGTCAGCCGTCATGAGGATCGCACTTGTCGACATTCAAGGCTTCACTCTTGACAGTGTTCTCCACCCGAAAGAGCTGACCATTCAAATTGGCCGCCAGAGATCCAACTTCCTATTCAAACCGCCTACACCGTTTGCTACCATTAGTGGACGTGACAAGAAAACTACATGTTATGTGGAGAAATTCGTTCATGGAATACCATATGATGCTGGTAATGTTGAATATACGGAACTGAACAACATTTTGGAAAAATATCTCTAGCATTCGGTTGAATGTATGTACGTGAGGGGCAATCAGAAAGCTGACTTTTTGAAGACGAAATGTGAAGAACTTGAAGTATTCCCAACTGTATACGATGTTGCTTTGTATGATGGAACACCCTTTTCTAGTAAAACCTACCAGCAAACTATATCGTACTGCCCCAACCACGCCAATGGAAAATATATGTGTGCCCAGCGGAACGTTGATCAACTTTACCAGTGGTTTATAAATGTGATATCACCTAAATGAAGATGTACTGTGTTTGGCTCAATAAACATTATGATAAGGATGGGAGTTTTATTGAAACACCTTGTATAAGTTCCATCATTTTATTCACGATATATGTACCCAGCTTTCATTAGGCCTTTCACAATCAAAACGAACGTAGCTGCTAATGTCAAACCTAGTAATATGAACATTTTATTGAATTCATTCTGTATTCCTGTTGTGGGGGCTCCTATAGTTTGCCAGTCGGTATCCTCTTCAGATCCACCGGAAAACATCAACTTGAGTTTGAAGAAGGAATTATTCGTCTCTGGTATCTCTTTGTATAATACTGGTAGACATCCATTGTTCACCAACTTATTTCGCATCGCTGTCCACGATGATCGATTGCAATCTTCTTTCGAGTCATTGAAACATATCGCCATGTTCTTGACATCGTTGGGAACATTTGTATACAATACGTTATTCAAAATTGCTGTCAGAACTATGAATGCCACCCGTGACATTTTGAGGCTGGATGTGTCGTCTCTGCTCAACAGGCACCTCTACTGCTGGTACTCTTCCACAGCTGCTGAAAACTTTATCCCACAAACTCAAATTCTCCAATTGATCCAATACTCTGGTTTTATCTTCGTACAATGTTATGTCTTTGTTCAGCTGTCGAACCCGCTCCCCAAATTCCTCCAGCTCGTCACCTATCGCTTGTCATCTGTCACTTGTCATCTGTCACTTGTCATCTGTCACTTACTTGTCATCTGTCACTTGCCATCTGTCATTTCTCATCTGTCACTTGTCATCTGTCACTTGTCACTCCCGGCGGCCATCTTGTCACCCGTGCAGCCAACACCTTCTACCACAGGAACGGTTGTGACGTCACTTCCGGCGGCGACCATTTTGGCCTGGTACCGGCCTACGTACACTACTAAACTCAATCCAAAAAATTAGTTTCTGGTCTCGAATTAAGACACAAACGACCTTCAGAATTACTGACAGAAATGATCAAACTGGGTGGAAATCAGCTAACTGAAAATTTCACAAAAACGCTATGGATGGATCGTCTCCCTCAACAAGTGCAAGTTGCGCTAGCTGCAGCAGATGGCCTGAACAACAATGCTTTGGCTAAGCTAGCTGATAAAGTTGTTGAGATCCAAAGGAATTCAATGCCGGGACAGATTATGTCTATCTCACCAACGCAGGGAAACAGCGATCTGGACCATCGCATAGATGATATCACTAAGCAAGTCCAGGTATTAGCTTAGAGATTAGATGAAATTATATCCAGAGATTTCTCACGTGGAAGACGATCTACATAAAGACTTCTCGTTCTGTGCCATACACCGCAAGCCACCTGGTTCCAAAATGGCAAAATTGCTGACCACGTTAAACCATGAGAAGGAATACATCATCCATTATGTTGATTTGAATAAAGCTTCGGCTAATGGCTTGAAGCTCACCAAAATTCACAGAGTAGCAAAATTTGAACAGTCTTCGTGGTTGAAGCCCTACATTGATCTGAATACTGGATTGAGGGCTGCAGCAACCAACACATTCGAAAAAAACCTATATAAACTTATGGATAATGCTGTGTTTGGAAAGACGATGAAAAACATTCGTGAACATCGCGTCGTCAAATCATGTAGATCATGAAATGGACGCTATGGGGCTGAAAATATGATCGCCAGATCAAAGTTTCGTGACCGGACGATTTTGGGTGACGATCTGATTGCTATCGGTTTGGCTAAATCTGAAATAGTCTTCAACAAACCCCTATACATAGGGATATCTATTTTGGATTCATCCAAGACGTGTATGTATAGTTTCCATTACGATTTCATGCTTCCAACGATATGGGTAGAAAAATGTAAGTTAACTTCAAATAACTTGTCCAAATTCGACACTTCCACACTACCACTGTACTTTAGGAATAATTTTTAGTCTTATTTGTATTGTTGTTACTTTATATGTTGTTTCACCATGTTTAATAAATGATTATTATGAATCTTGTTATTTCATTTCATACATTAACAAACATGATGACTAGACGTGCATGGATGCGTCGAATGCGTACGACAATGCGTCAAAAACTTGTTCCGATGCGTCAAAAACGTGTTCCGATGCGTCAAAAACGTGCGTCAATACGTCAAAGTCAGGAGAGCATGTCTCTTGACACGTTATATTTCACACGTGACAAAATGAAAGACCAAAATGATACTAGTTAATTTCCAGAAGGGTTAGGCGATACGATACTGGCTCTCAACGTTTCTTGGAATTTCGTTGAGTCAGCTGACCTTCAGAAAAAAACATTAGTGATACTTTATGAACGTGCAAAGAAATGTCTAAAACGAACAACGAAACTCCATTGCAGAGGAGGGTCACCACTCTCACCTCCTCAGTTCTACACATAATATGGTATCTTCGATTGTGGGTTTATAGCATTTCTTAAATCAAACACTTGGTCAGTCTGAATACCATCAAAATATCTGAGGTCAGACAGAGAGGATGTTGATAACAAACAAAAAAAATCGGGAGTCTTCATATTATACCTAACTCATGTTGGGCAGGTGAGGGGAAACATATTCTAGCTGTTATTTTCCTCTTCATCATTTCGTCATAGAAAAGGGAACCAGAGAAGGGCAGATTTGTAGTTCGTGCAAGAAGGGTCACCACCCTCACTTCTCTCTGTTTTACCCATCTATACATAAGATATGATAGCTTAGATTGTATCATTTTTGTTAAAAATGCATGTTTATCATTGTTTGAGATCCTAGCATTACTTGGGCACCCTAGAAGTGGTTCGCAATCCACTATAAGCTGGAGGTTCCACTCTTCCTAACTTCACACAAGTTTCGACTCCTGGAGAGTTAGTTTTCAATTCCGAAGTAGCGATATACAAATTAACAAACTAACAAATACAGAATTGGCATATTGAGGTCATCATAATGTCATCCTCGGGAAATTTCCTCATGGAATAGGGTGAAAAATCGTGAAATAGCATGGAAAAACGCGACGATCTCGTGACGCAACCATCACACTTAGTGCGTCGTACGCGATATGCATTATACATTCGTTGAACAGACGTCGAATATTATTTTTCGAAAACATCAAACGTGAGTCGCAAGCATCTAAAATACGTCCAATGCGTCAATTACCTCGAACAGGCCAATATACATTCAAAACCCACAACAAACTGATAAAAGACGTCACAAAACGAAATCATACGATGAAGAAAAATCTGAAAGGCGATAGGAACAGAATAAACAGGGTCTGTGAAAGAAAGATTCATGAAGAGTGGCGGATATATGACAAATGCTTACATCCTACCGACACTGACCTGCCTAATAGCTCAATATAGGATAGATCGAAGAATTGATCGATGAGATTGGTGAGGATTAATATTATACCGCTCTCTGGACACATCCAATTCACGGAAGTATAGACACATCCGATAAAGGATGGGTTAGACAGGTAGAACGTTCATACACTCACTTTCCTTGACTCTTTTGCAAAACGTCGAAAATGTTCATGAAATTATCAAGAATGTGGGGCAAAAGACGTCAGTAGTGTAGGGATCTAAACATCTGATAACACTCAGTAGATGCAGAAAAACAAGATTTGAGAAATCAAGAGACAAGGCTATTCACTTTGTTAGCGACGATAGGTTTTATTATTTGATCAATAGATGTTCGATTGTTTTCTGGATTGAGAATAGAGATTCGAATTGAATAGTTTGTCGATATATTCGGCTTTTATGATTCACGAAATAAATAATTTATATGTAGACAACCCCCACATAATTGGTGACCCCGACGTGATTCGAAAAGCATTTGACAAACAAATATCGTTCAGTGACAGTGATAGACAGTGATAGCAGCTGAATTCTACCTTGGACAACATATTATCAGTATGAACGGCTTTGGCGGTGGAGATAACGGTATCAACAATGATCCCTTTGACGAGCCGAACCTGATTGAACAGCAGGTTAATCAAGCGTCGAATACGCAAGTCAATCTTCTCGAGGCGATGCACTTACCAGCATTCTGGACAAACAAGGTACAGCTTTGGTTTACATCAGTTGGAGCCCAGTTTCACAGCCGAAGAATTCAAACTGATACAACCAAGTATCACGCTGTTATTGCACGCCTTGATCAGGAAACGCTTTCAGTCGTCGAGCACATAGTCACGAATCCACCAACTACAGATAAGTACAAAGCTATTAAAGATGCACCGCTGAATCATTACTCTGTATCTCAGCAAACTCAATCCAGAAAATTAGTTCCTGGTCTCGAATTGGGACACAAACGACCTTCAGAATCACTGACAGAAATGATCAAACTGGGTGGTAATCAGCTAACTGAAAATTTCACAAAAACGCTATGGATGGATCGTCTCCCTCAACAAGTGCAAGTTGCGCTAGCTGCAGCAGATGGTCTGAACAACAATGCTTTGGCTAAGCTAGCTGATGAAGTTGTTGAGATCCAAAGGAATTCAATGCCGGGACAGATTATGCCTATCTCATCAACGCAGAGAAACAGCGATCTGTCCAGGTCCAGGTATTAGCTAAGAGATAAGATGAAATTCTATCCAGAGATTTCTCACGTGAAAGACGTGGTGTATCACGTAGTGCCACTCCACGTCCTCGGAACAGCAGTGTGAATAATTCAGCAGGCAACGACTCACCTCCTTCAATCTGCTATTATCACTGCAGATTCGGTAACAATGCTAGCAAGTGCACCAAGCCATGCGGATGGATTCCGGAACAGGGAAACGACAGAAACTGTCAATAGAGTCGGCAACTGCTGGCGGTCTGGGAAAACCTCGCCGATCATTCATTTTTGATCACATCACTGGAACCAGATTTTGAGTCGATACCGGTGCGGACATTTCTGTTGTTCCTGCTTCAGTGACGGAAAAGGCGAGACCCAAGAAACGGAAACTTCATGCAGCCAACAACACGCTAGTTCAAACTTATGGAGAGCGAGCGATTACTCTGAATCTCGGAATACGCCGCCCACTGGGTGTTTTGTATTGCCAATGTACCGTATCCTATCATGGGAGCAGACCTCATTCACAAGTACGGACTCCTGGTAGACCTAAAAAAAGGACTTATCATTGACTCAGACGGATGTCGCAGCACAGGAACGTATGGACCAGCTCCAATCAATACAATCAGTGCAGTCACCGATATCACGAGATATACAACAATTCTCAAAGAGTTTCCTGAGCCTCTGGGAAATCCATCTAACCGTTCGGAAACAAAGCATTCAGTTAAACATTACATTCCAACTACAGGGCCTCCTGTAGCTCAGCGTGCAAGACAACTGTTCCCGGAGCGTCTCAAAATTGCAAAGGATGAATTCGAGTTGATGGTTGAATTAGGTTATGCAAGACCATTTGAAAGTCCTTGGGCTAGCCCATTACACTTGACAAAGAAGAAAAATGGTGACTGGAGACCCTGCGGCGACTACCGTAAGCTCAACGCTCAAACAGTGCCCGATAGATATCCAATATCCTTCCTCCAAGACTACTCTACGGTACTGGTAGGAATGCAGATATTTTCAACTATTGATCTCCGGAAAGCATTTCATCACATACCAGTTGCCGAAGAAGACATTCCGAAAACAGCAGTTATAACAGCATTTAAACTGTTTGAGTTCGTCAGAATGCCTTTTGGCCTCAGAAGAGCAACCCAATCATTTCAGAGATTTATAAATGAGGTACTGAATAAACTTGATTTCGTTTATGCCTACGTGGATGAGTTAGTGATTGGATCTAGAACAGCAGAAGAACATAAACATCATCTTCGTTTAGTGTTTCAACGCCTGAGCAATTTCGGACTCTGTATTAATGCAGAGAAGTGTGTCTTTGGACAGCAAAGTGTAGATTTTCTTGGTTACCGTATCACGGCACAAGGATCACTACCACTTCAAAACCGCGTCCAAGCTTTACTGGATTACCCTAAACCCGAAACAATTCTGGCATTACGTCGATTCATCGGTGCAGTGAACTGCTACAGGAAACACATGCCAGAAGCAGCCGCAGCTCAAGCACCGTTGAACGAGATGCTGAGAGATTTTAAAAAGAATAATCAAAGACCTGTTCCGTGGATTACAGAGTCAGAAGCAACTTTTGCCAAAGTGAAACAGTTACTAGCTGATGCCACACTACTCTCACATCCAGTGATTGGAGCCGAGCTTCGCCTCACTACTGATGCATCGAGTACAGCGCTTGAGCAGTCCTTGAGCAAAATGTTGATAATCACTGGGAGCCGTTGGGATTTTTCTCCAAAAAGCTGTCACCCGCTCAAAAAAACTACAGTACGTATGACAGAGAGTTGACAGCTGTCTATGAAGCTGTCTGATATCTTCAATCGTGGGTTGAAGGCAGAGAATTCGTAATAAGAACCTGATCATAAACCTCTCACGTTTGCTTTCCAACAGCGAGCAGACAAAGCTTCACCACGACAGGTCAGACAACTTAGTTACATTAGTCAATTCTCGACCAGCCTTCAATATCTGGCTGGCAATGAAAATATTGCAGCAGATGCTATTTCAAGAATCGATGTCCTTAGATTTTCATCAGTGATTGACTTCAATGAATTGGCGAGGGCACAAGAAGTTGATGATGAGCTGAAAGAACTCCTGCGTGAC